TATAAGTATGATGACTGTTCAATATCATGTCACCCTTATTTAATACATAGGGAAAAGTACTTTATGGTATTGGGCTGCTACATTTAAAACACCAATAAATGTAAATCACAAAAGACTGTTCAGTGTGTCCAATATTTTTTGCAGTTAATAGCTGTACCCCTATAAAGGCAGTTGTCAGGATTGGTTGCCTGTTTTCTATAGCTGAACCCAGAGCATTAGACCAAAACTAATGGAGCAACTCCCTTCTACCACCCACACACCGCAAGGGTCAAATGCTTGTTTAGTCTAGGGGTGCAGAGATAAGCTGTATTGCTCACCCTATCCCTTGATCTGGCAGGCTCCAGCATGGATCTCTTCTACCCAAAGTTCTGAGCTGTCCTTCAACATCATCACATAAAGTGCAGGGCTATTAACCATTCATAGGTGCGAGCTTGGGACCATGGCTTAAAGTGTCTTAGAGAGGTAGCAGTGCTGGACTGGTCACATGGATGGAGAAAGACCCAGGAATGAGAACTTATCCTTACACCTCTAGACTAAATGAGCATTTAGCCCTCGCAGTGTGGGGTAGATTTTGTCCATTAGATTTAAGTTGAGCTCTAATGTATTTGATTTCATTATATTTGGCCTACCTCAAGGTAAATAAACTATCCTGGTTGGGCCCCCTTGACATGTAACTATATGCTCAGATTGTTGGGAATTAATAGCCACATGGGCAACACAGTCATCTAAATTCAAACACCATCATGTCATGAAATGTGAGGAGAGATGTGTCGATCAGAGGCTTATTGTCCAAGAATATGATGGAAAGTGTGAAAGTCGTGACAACGCCCTGTTCTGATCACATACTCCAATCCCATGGTGCCATGAAATCCTGGGCAAGTGTTGATTGTATTAATGACAGTCCTGAATTTATGAAATGCTGTTATACTGCAGAGGTAAAGATTTAAAAGTGGCATTATACCCTGGTGACCTGTGCTGAAAACCCCCAGACCCGTTCAGTCACGGTTGTTCTTCTATTTAAACAAGTCAATTTTTCTTGAGAGAAACATGGAGGATGACCACCTTCTAAAAATGATAGGTCTGCATACCATTGGCTTCAATAACTTTAGAGCATTTATACAGTCAAGTCAGTGAGTTGAAGTTAAAGCGATTCTAAAGGTTCTTTTTTTTTTTTTTTAAATAACAAACATGTCTATACATACCTGCTGTGTGCAGTGGTATTGCACAGAACAGACTGGATCCTCCTCTTCTCGGGTCCCCCGCAGGCTCTCCTGGCTCCTCCTGTGTCGAGTGCTCCCATAGCAAGCAGCTTGCTATGGGGGCCCCCACTACTCTGTGTGTCTATTCACACATGGAGCCACGGCGTGGCCCCGCCCCCTCTCCTCATTGGCTAATTGGCCATGATTGACAGCAGCGGGAGCCAATGGCTCCCGCTTGCTGTTTACGCCAATGAGGCTGCAGAAACCCAGGACAGCCGAGGCTGTCATTCACATCGCTGGATCGTGATGAGGCTCAGGTAAGTATTGAGGGGGCTGGGGGACAGAAGGTTTTTTAAAATCTGAGCATAAAATTACATATAAAAAAACCATGAGCCTTTACAACCACTTTAAGTCAGAAAGTCAGTCTGAAAGTAATGAAACTTGGATTTGCAGAATAAGAAGCCAGCACTAGCAGTCTCCATGTTTCTTTAAGCAGCCTTTTTCAAAATGCTGCTTATATTCAAAGCCATGGTCGTGTTGTAAATGACAACATTAAAAACAATAGCAAAGCTCTGCACATGTTTTTAATGTGCAACAAAACACACAGGTGTGAATGGATCCTAAATAAAGCCTGTGCTACGAGAGATATACAGCCTGTCATCATTGACCTCTTGAAAATAGTGCTAAGGGTAGAGCAATATGTGTTGCCATGCTGCTTTTGGCGTGTAAGGTAGCCCAATCCAATGGGATGCCTTAATGCAGCGCACATTCACACATATAAACGTGTGCACTTTAGGCAGCATAACAGCGTCAAGTTCTACATTTTCTGCAGAGTAAAAAGGGCTCAAACCACTCTCTTTTTCCATGGGTCAGTACTTCGAAATAGCAGTATGGAAAGTATTTTCTATATCATGTCAATTTGCTTAATCTTGTTTCTTGTATAAGAGGTTTACTTTAGCACACAGAAACCAGAACGAGTTTTGACCAGGTTTTTTTATCTTCCCTCTGTTGTGACCTTGATTTCATGTTTTCTCTATTCTTCACCTAATCAAAGGAATGTTCACTGTACAAACTAAAACATATTCAATCTGGGCTAGTCATTCTTCTGCATCTCTCTTCGAATATAAACTTGGTGTTGAAAGTGAAATTCCAGTATATTTGCATTTTTGTTAGAACTCTTTCACTTCATCGCGCATGCATTACTGTGTGCATAATGTGCAAAGACTGGCAGTTGGTTTTTCATTCAGCCGCACTATGCTTTTTTCGCTTTTTCTCTTTTACGTCTATGATAAGGGCATGACCTGCAGCATGCTGCAATGCATTGGGATGAACTGACACCATAGAAAGTAAGGTTATTTTCCTTGTCCATGTGTTGGGATTGCACTGGACAACATAGCTCAATGCTGTTCTTGTGATCAAGTCCTTAGACTGAGGAGAAAATCTAGAACATCTTTCAGATATTTAGGCTGGATTCATACTGTTCCATGTGCTTTGCAGCGAGTATGTGAAAATGTGAATGGGCCCATATAATTTCCCTTTCCCGCTACAGTGCAGTCTGACTGAGGGTCTAACCCTTCTTCACTCTGTCTGCAACTTGTCTGGAGTTCCACTACGCTGAAACAATAAAAACAAAAACTTACATCTAGGAACATTGTCCTATTGACCTGCATAGAATGTTGATATTCTCACAAAAGGCATACTTATGAAACGCATATAGCACAAAGTAAATGAAATACAATACAATACAAGCCCAACATATGAAAAAACACATACCGTATGTATGGGATACCTTAAGTGAAACGCACAGATAAAAAACAAATCAGCAGATCAATTAAATAAGGCAACATAAAGTGCATCTAAAACCAAAATTTCTATTGAATGGAGTAGAGAAGGGTTAAACTCAATTAAGGCATGTATTACTCTTTGTGTTCCCCCTGCGGAGAATCATTCCTCTCTATTTGTCCTGGTCACCATCATCACTGATGAGAAATCTAAAGACTTACAGTTGTGGAAGCAATTTGTGATGCTCGCCCTGACGCCAAGGCCAAAAACTATAGCTGGCAAGTGTTGCTCCACTTCAGTCCAACGTCAGCTGACGTCACTCAGCCGCTCCAGGCTGGGGAAAGATCCCGACTTCACAGTCAAGATCCACCCCAGAGTCTGGAGCGCCAGCGCTGAGAGCCTGAGCCAGCAGCTCCCTCCATAACCCAGCGCTTTAATAGTACATCTCTCACTGACAGTACAATGCCTAGAATTAGAATGAGAGATATACTAATAAAGTGGTAATAAAGTCTTTTTTTATTTTAAAAAATGGTCCCTGTGAAGGCTAAAGTCATAATTTACTAATCACTTTAAATACTCCACAAACTGTATGAGATCACTGTCAACCATGACAAGCCCTCTGATTTTAGAAATATTCAAGCCTGTCTAAATTTTTTGCTTTAGTATCATTGTAGTGAAGAAGATGACCTTTTTGCTCAGACCACACATCATCTCATCAAATGGGTGGGGGTATTTAAAGCAGTATTAAACACAAAACCAAAACTGTAATATATTGCAGCTTAATAATCATTAGACGGAAAAAGCCTAAAAAAAAGAAAAGTGATGCAGCCACCACATCTGTTTTCACCTGGTGATCTTGCCAGTAACACAACTCCTCTGAGTGCTCTTTGGAAGAAGGAGTACAGGGGCATCTTTGGACAGCAGCATTGTCAGTCAGGGGGGAGGGAGTGTGTAATGTACTAGCAGATATAGATACAATAACAAACTGAAGCTCACACTACAGTTACGTTTCGTTTGGGATAAAGGTTGTACATGCATAACTAAATGGAACAGCACAGTAACCACTCCAATCTGAGGACAGCTCCAACGCTCGCTGCCCTGGCTCAAAAGTCTGCAATACCTTACAAATGCAGAGTTCATAAAAAGAAATTCTGTCACATCAATATAAATCAGCGAAGCCAGAGAAATACAGCCAATAAAAAGTCAACACATTTTGGCCATTCAGGACTTAATCATGGTACTATGATCAAGCTCTTAATTACTATTAATCTCTTTTTTTACTTTTAAAATGTTACTAAACCTCGGGACCCTGCATTCACTATACAGTGAGGAACAGAAGTATTTGGACATCCTGCGATTTTGCAAGTTCTCCCACTTAGAAATCATGGAGGGGTCTGAAATTCACATTGTAGGTGCATTCCCACTCTGAGAGACAGAATTAAAAAAAAATTCAGGAAATCACATTGTATGATTTGTAAAGAATTTATTTGTCTTTCACTACTGAACATAAGTATTTGAACACCTAAGAAAAAGAAAGAATTCTGACTCTGAAAGACCTGTTACTGTGCCTTTAAAAAGTCCACCTCTACCCCACTTATTAATCTAACTTAGTAGCACCTGTCTGAGTTCTTTAACCACTAGCCTACAGGGCACTTATACCCCCTCCCTGCCCAGGCCAATTGCCAGCTTTCAGTGCTGTCGCACTTTGAATGACAATTGCGCGGTCATGTAACACTGTACTCATATGAAATTTTTATCATTTTTTTGTGACAGACAGAGCTTTCTTTTGGTGGTATTTAATCACCTCTGGGTTTTTTATTTTTTCTTAAACAAACCAAAAACCACTGAAAATTTTGAAAAAAAACAAAACGTTTTTCTTAGTTTTTGTTATAAAATTTTGTAAATAAGTGATTTTTCTCCTTCACTGATGTGCGCTAATGAGGCTGCAATGATGGGCACTGATAGGCTGCACTGATGGGCACTGATGAGGAGGCACTGGTAGGTGGCACTGATGGGCATTGACAGGCATCACTGATGGGCACTGAAAGGCAGCACTGATACATGGCACTGATATATGGCACTGTTAGGAGGCACTGATAGGCGGCACTGACTGGCACTGATAGGCGGCACTGACTGGCAGCACTGATAGGTGGCACTGATGGGTGACGCTGAAAGGCAGCTCAGATGTGCACTGATATGTGGCATTGATGTGCACTGGTATGCACTGATATGTGGCATTGATAGGCACTGGCACGTGGCACTGATCGGCACTGATCGGCACTGATGGACTTTGACAGGTGGCACTGCTGGGGCTACATTGATCATCAGGGCACACTGATGATCAGTGTACATGTCCCCTCCGCGGAAAGCCGATTACCGGCTCTCCTCTCCAGCAGTCAGCGTGACAGCTCGAGAGGAGAGAAATGCCGATAACCGGCATTTCCGTGTTTACATGTGATCAGCTGTGATTGGACACAGCTGATCACATGACCGAGCCGACATCTCTGGCTCTTTCCGTGATCGGTGATCCGCTGTGTCCGAGGGACACAGCGCACCGCCGATCACCGCGCTGCGCGCTCCCTGGGGTTGCTTTTCTGCTAAGGGGACAGGATGACTGCACTGTATTAAGGAGAGATGAATGGGGCCATTTATTGTGAGATTTTGAGCAACAACCTCCTTCCCTCAGTCAGAGCATTGAAGATGGGTCGTGGCTGGGTCTTCCAACATTACAACGACCCGAAGCACACAGCCAGCATAACCAAGGAGTGGCTCCGTAAGAAACATATCAAGGTTCTGGAGTGGCCTAGCCAGTCTCCAGACCTAAATCCAATAGAACATCTTTGGAGGGAGCTGAAACTCCGTGTTGCTCAGCAACAGCCCTGAAACCTGACAGATCTAGAGGAGATCTGTGTGGAGGAGTGGGCCAAAATCCCTGTTGCAGTGTGTGCAAACCTAGTCAAGAACTACAGGAAACGTTTGACCTCTGGAATTGCAAACAAAGGCTTCTGTACCAAATATTAACACTGATTTTCTCAGGTGTTCAAATACTTATGTTCAGCAGTGCAAGACAAATACATTCTTTAAAAATCATACAATGTGATTTCCTGTTTTTTAAATTCTGTCTCTCAGAGTGGGAATGCACCTACAATGTGAATTTCAGACCCCTCCATGATTTCTAAGTGGGAGAACTTGCAAAATCGCAGGGTGTTCAAATACTTCTGTTACTCACTGTATCTGGTCTCCCACAGTACACACTACATGGAATTGAAATTATTTTAGTAAATATAAACTGCTAAATACCTTTTTTCATCAGCAGTTAGAGCAGTCTTGTGACTTCTATCAGTGTCCAGCTGAGCACTGGTTAAAGCTTATAGAAGGAGTTTTTTTCTACTTCAGGATGCAGAATCCCTGATCTCTGTCTGGACAGTGCTGATTGGCCCTGTGCTGATCACATGCACTCTCCCAAGAAAAAAAACCTCTCTAGCAATACACACTAAATTAAGCATGTGCAGAATGTCTCCACATGATATGTCTTATTAGGAGATAAGAGGGGGACATGGGAAGAAGGGGAGGATCATAGAAGTCAGAATCAAACAGCATTTTTACACAATGCAAAGGATTAACCCATTAGGTTCCACAGTGAGTATAACAAGCGTTTTGGGTTTAGCAACACTTTAAGGGAAAATAAATATGCCGGTATTTTTGTGTGGACTCTGTATCATTGTAAGAATCCCAGCAGTTGTAAATGGCTTGTCTCAACACTTCTGCTACATTGGCAAGAGAGCTTGTTGTGTTGGAAAACAACAGATTTACTGGCTGGATCATCAGATTAATATAAAGGAAGAAAGACTAAAAAGAAAACTGATGCAGCCACCACATCAAAGAATTGGTAAGCTGCAATATAATAAATGTTTGCTTTTGGGTTTAATACCACTTTAAATATCCAATTTTGGCTTCAGTGCTCTAGGAGAGGCCACTAAAACTTCTTCAGCCAAGCCAGCAATTCTATTTAAATCAGGAGGCACAATCACTAATGTAGAAAAGAAAAGGAAGTCATGTTGACACACGCTTGTAGTATTTAGCAGTGTCTGTTTACTCCATGTAAACAGCAGTAACATTAACAAGATTTGCATTGAAGTTAGAAAGCCTGGGTGTAAAATGCATTTGTACATCCAGGCACATTCCTGAGGTAGACCTGTGCTAACAAATCACATCAGCGAAGCAAAGGCCATGCATAGCTAGATGTCAATCATATCATGTATTAGAAATCTGGGGCTAGCAAGATGTCATAATTCTCAAACAATATTGACAAATCTCAACACAAAAGAGCATGACTAAAATTAATTATGTAATAGAGCCTGATAAACACAGAACAGGTTATAAATCTGTGCCTTTTGTTATACAGTCAGCATTGTTCAACGTAGATGAAAGCCCCAAATGGATGATACTTTACACTCATTTATAATTGTGGTTGGAGGGCAGTAAAAATAGGCGGCTTTTAACCACCAAGCCTGTTAAACCTCCCCTCCCACATCTTTAGAAGCTGCAAAGGCAGCTGGATGGAGGATATACACTTGCGCAGGCAAGATGCTTTGCTTCACGTCTGCACCAAAAATTATCCCACCACTCTCATTCAGCAGGCAGTATTGCTGCCAATCGCTGCTGAAAGATCTTGTATATTTAATATACAGTGAAGGAAATAAGTATTTGATCCCCTGCTGATTTTGAATGTTTGCCCACTCACAAAGAAATGATCAGTCTAAAAATCGGATGGTAGGTGTATTGTAACACTGAGAGACAGAATAGCAACAAAATATTCAAAAGAATGCATGTCTAACAAATGATGCACTGATGTGCATGTTCATGAGGGAAATAAGTATCTGATCCCCTATCATTCAGCAGGATTTCTGGCTACCAGGTGTCTTTCATACAGGTAACAAGCTGAGATTAGAAGCAGTCTCTTAAAAGGGAGTGCTGCTGATCTCATTTTGTTACCTGTATAAAAGACACCTGTCCACAGGAGCAATCAAACAACCAGATTCCAAACTCTCCACCATGGCAAAGACCAAAGAGCTGTCCAAGGATGTCAGTGACAGGATTGTAGACCTACACAAAGCTGGACTGGGCTACAAAACTATGGCCAAGCAGCTTGGTGAGAAGGTGACAACACAAAACAACTGTCAGTCTCCCTAGGTCTGGTGCACCATGCAAGATCTCATATTGTGGAGTGTCAATGATTATGAGAACAGTGAGGAATCATCCCAGAACTACACACGAGGATCTTGTCGATGATCTCCAGGCAGCTGGGACCACAGTCACCAAGAAAACAATTGGTAACACACTACGCCGACAAGGATTGAAATCCTGCAGTGCCCGCAAGGTCCCTCTGCTCAAGAAAGCACATGTCCAGGCCCGTCTGAAGTATGCCACTGAACATCTGAATGATGCAGAGGAGGACTGGTTGAAAGTGCTGTGGTCAATTGAGACCAAAATCAAGCTCTTTGGCATCAACTCAACTCGCGGTGTTTGGAGGAATGCTACCTATGACCCCAAGAACACCATCCCAACTGTCAAAAACATTCTGCTTTGGGGGGGTTTTTCTGCTAAGGGGACAGGACAACTGCACAGCATCAAAGGGATGATGGACGGGGCAATGTACCATCAATTCTTGGATGAGAACCTTCTTCAATCAGCCAGGGCATTGAAAATGGGTCGTGGATGGGTGTTCCAGCATGACAATGACCCAAAACACACGGCCAAGGCAACAAAGAAGTGGCTCAAGAAGAAGCACATTAAGGTCCTGGACTGGCCTAGCCAGTCTCCAGATCTTAATCCGATTGAAAATCTGTGGAGGGAGCTGAAAGTTCCAGTTGCCAAACGTCAGCCACCAAACCTTAATGACTTGGAGAGGATCTGCCAAGAGTAGTGGGCCAAAATCCCTCCAGAGATGTGTGCAAACCTGGTGGCCAACTACAGGAAATGTCTGACCTCTGTGATAGCGAACAAGGGATTTGCCACCAAGTACTAAGTCATGTTTTGTGAAGGGGATCAAAAACTTATTTCCTTCACAGGAATTAGAAATATAGCACCATACTGTATATTTGTTCTGTCAACACCGAACAGTTCAACTAGATTCTAGACTGCATTCCAGGTCAGGGACTCAATAGGTGGTAAAGTCGAGGCTCAGAATGGTAATTCTGGAGACCTAAGATATTAAGGCCTCTTTCACATTGACCTAGCTTCTGCATCGCAATCCACGATGGATCCACTGGACACAGTTGCATTGAGGATGATGCATGGCCCCATCTAATTCTATGGGGCACTGTAGTTGGTTGTATTGCTGCTGAACACAACATGTCCTACATGGGAACCATCTGAGCAATGTGCTGCATTACAAAAGTGGTTCAAAATTAATAGACTACCTGAAATGTATAGTTCACCTTTAACAAAAGACTGCCCATGCAGATAAGGGGCATCTGTGGATAAAAACACTGTTCATCTTTGACCAAAGTTGAATAATGTCCTTGCTATAAGTGTAGGTCACTTACGCACCTCACAAAGCCTGACTGCAAAAAAAAAAAAAAAAAAAAAGACATTACTAAGAGACGTTAAGCTGTTACTGTTCACCTCTACCATCACAGGAGTGAGCTCTAGGATTCAAACCTCCTCACATGCGCTCTCTCCCCCCTGATGCAGTAGCTCTGCGCTCAGTGTGTGAGAGCTCGCTTCTGTGATTGTGAAGGTGAACAGTAACAGCTAGGTGTCTTCTCAACATCGTAGGAGTTTTCCTGTCATGCTTCATGAAGTAAGTGGCCTACACCTACAGCAAGGGCATTATTCAACTTTGGGCAAAGCTGTACAGTTTGTTTTTATCCACAGATACCCCTTATCTAAATAGGCCTTTTTTTGTAAAGGTGAACTAAACCTTTAAAGCAATGCACAGCCCACATGGCAGAAAAATATATCTGAAATATATTTTAAAAATATTCTTCCCAAATATATTGCCATATATTTGAAATACTACAATTTTGGCCATATTCAATATATTTATATATATATATATATATATATATATATATATATATATATATATATATATATATACACACACACACACACACACATACATATACATACACACACACTGCATGTTGAAATGCGTTTTTATTACAAAATATATGAAAAATATTTTTACAAATACATTTCAAATATACTATGTCTTTAAAAATACAAATCTACATTTTTGGAATGCATTTACAAATATATGTAAAAATGTATATTAAAATGACTATTTAATATGTTAAAAAAAATCTGAAGAATATATTTAAAAAAATATATTTTTAAAAATATATTCTTCCGATTTCTTTCCTCCATTGAAGAACGTTCTTTCACTGATGTCACTGCCTGTAACATAATCTCTGGGGGGGGGGGGGAAGAGTCCAATGTGTCAAGCAATGCTCTCCATCTTTTACAGATTGTGATTAAGAAGCAGCAAAGAGGACAGATCCCCAGAATAAATGAAGCAAGAGGAGGGAGATTCTTGCACTGTA